CCCCATCAAAGTGGGCAATGTCATTCCATTTACAGGGAAGTGCCAAAGGAGACAGCCAAAATTTGCAACGGTGTGATAATACCAGCAGGGATGGATTTGTTGCTATTATGATTAAAGCATATAAACAGAAGAAGATTAGGAGGGGTGAGAGTGAAAAGAGGGGAAGAATAGTTTATTGGTTGGAAGAAGGGCAGGGAGAAGCTTATGTTGGAATGCAGTGTCACAGTTACACACCATAAAGCTTTCAGTTGCTCCCATTACATGAATGTCAGAACACAGCTGCCACTTTCCAGGAGAAATTCTTTCCGTTTTCATTTTGGAAGTACAGGGTGGTTTTTTTTGGTTTTTTTTTTTTTTCTGAGTGTAGCACTCCCATGAGATCACTGCATTGCATCTGCAGGTACCCTTACAGCACATGGACTGGTAAATGTGATCCTTGTAGACATGCTCTGGGACATTCACCCCTTAGGATGAACCAACAAGATGTCCTAAATTGGAGAGGTGGCTCAACCTAAACAAAGCATTAAGAATCAGATTTTGTGTTGTCTTGAACCAACTGCTTTCACAGTCATCGATGTACAGCCGTAACTAGTAATAAATCTCAATGGCAATCCACTCAGTTTAAGGAAATGTGGCTGAACAAGGTGAGTGAGAAACCAGCCTTACAATTATAATCTCATTTTGCTGATGAAAACGAAAGGCCATAATTTTCCATCAGTGCCTTGAGATCCTTGGACTTATATTTTTTAGTGCTCCACTCAAGACATTTGGAAGGGGTATATTTTACCACTTACTGAAGTCAGCCCTGAGAAAGGCATCTGGTCAACCCAAGCAGTCAGACAAGAAGAGATGATCTGGCACGGAACGTTGGAAGTTCATCCCACTGCCATTTTAACCAGTTAAAGTGGCTTAGTTAATGATGTGCTCCGGTGGAAGAAGAACAGTCAAGTTCTGCCTTATGATATCAGTGAAGAACAGAATGAGTATGTCAGGAAGTATTCACAGAGCAAACTTTGTATTTTTGTGAAAGAAAAGAAACCAGGGGTATTTGAGGTTCAAGATAGAACTTATATCCTGAAGTCTTGTCAGGATATCAGGAGAATAAGAGAGAAGAGGGAGTGGGGAATTCTCTCAGTCAGCTCATTTTTCCATCCTTGCTTTGACCTTTCCAGAACTGTAAGCATTTTAAATAGGACGGGAAAAACAGAAAATTCCTTCCTTTGCAATACTACAGAATGCTGCTAGCCTTAATTACTATGACAAATGGAATACAGGCAGGAATCTGCTAAGAGAGCGAAATTATCATATCTAATTTATTACACAAATAAAACTGGTCATTGGGTAGTAAGGGCTTTAGTTCAACTGAGAACAAGAATTTGTAGAATATCTTTCAATTGCCCAAGCCAGGTAAAAAGTCTAAACTCTGCCAGCTGCTATTAAAGGTCGCAATTTAACTTATATTTATTGAGAACTGGGTTTTGTACCTTTCATCTCAGTAAAATATACTTACAGTAGTCATACTACTGTTCTAAAATAGAGGAGCAGAAACTCAGTATTTTCAAGAACAATTAGGACTCAGTGAATTCTGCTCCTTAAACAGAACTATGCTTTGTTTTGGAATTTTAAATGGAGCGGAATGTTCTTAAATTTTTCCAGTGACTAGAAATGTTGTAACAAAGTAATTAGAAGCATATTTTCATTAACATCAATTGAAATTTCTTACAGGACTCCAAAGTTAATAGGTTTATTAAATACATTGTTGTTCCTGGACTTGCGCTCCTATGTATACTTAACATTGAATTCCACATGAAAGACCAAAATCCAATGATTTTTTAAAAAAATGCCAGAGTTAAGTACACTTGCATCCAAACAATCAAGTATTTAAAATATTTACACATTGAAATAAATAGTAAAGGAAGCAGACTTCTATTATATTTAATTTTGAAGATAACCTCGGTCATAAGGGTACAGAGGGGGATTCTTAAGAAGAATTTTAGGGCTTGATTTAGTTCCCTAAACATAGGCTTACAGTCAGCACATCCTCAGGTATCTGAAAAGATCCATAGTGGCATTGGAAAAAACTCCCTAAATAATCAGCAACCACAGAAATAATAAAAAGATACGGGAAAAAAATTCTCCATTATTTGCCTGAACTTAATTTTACGGAGTATTAGAAATGCCCTAAATGCAGTGAATGTACTGTCTAAGCTCAGAGATATCAAAACCGTTTTCTGTAAAGTTTATGTCCTTTTCTGATTCTTTTCACTCCTGCAATGAACTCTCCAAACAGGACACATCATTCTTGGGATAGAAGCCAATGCAGCAGAAGCAGCCCTAGACTTCACCATAAATCGTGGGGAATGAACAAATTAATAATATGACAGAGTAGAAAATATTGGAATTAAAAGACTGTCCAATCTAAGTAACCCCTTCTAAGTAGAAGATCCAAGACAAGTCTTTCCCCACTGCCTGAGTAATTCTCATATACAACACAGGCAAGAGCTGACAAAGCAGCTCAACTTCATTGCTGAGGACTCAAGATTGACAAAAACCATCAATTTTAATATAGAGCTTCCAGGAACAGATATTGTTTATTAGAGTTAAAGCCATGTTTAGAGTTAACCCACATCTTTGCAAAGTCTATGTTCAAAAACTCCACTATATCCCTTCAGCTGCTCCTTTCACAAACAAGTCTTTAATGTCCTAACTGACTGCTTTCTCCTTTTCTCTACTTAATATTAAAACAGCATGAAAACTAGAGATTTCTGGCTCTGTTTTCTTCTGTAAAAGCACATTAACTGCACTAAAAAAAATAATAAAAAAAATATTCAAGCTATGTGCGACATATACTGCATTCCAATCGTTTGGTCCAGCTCTCCAAAGAGATGAGTCTCTCATTTTCAAGCACTGTGCACACACATCTGCGGACAGGATTCCAAAAGATCTCACCACCCAGCATAAAAAGTTCTTTGGGAAGTCTGGCTTTTGAAATGGTGTTGAGCTTTTTTTAAAACATATGCCATAAATCCTAATTGTTTTTGAAACTCACTTCTTGTTGCATGTTTATGATTCTCTCATTTCTATCTAATCAGTTGTTACAATATGAATCTAAATTTCCGGAGATTCAAAATATCAAAATTTTATGAACAAATCTGTAAAAATTCCCAGCACTTAACAAATGCTGTTATTCTGCCATTTACCATTTTAGCCATCTTTTTATTTTTACACCTTAATTTCCTCTTCATTCTGATGTTTTCCTTTGCATTCTTGATGAATGATCACAGATTCTTCTTTTCAGTTTATTTTTCTTCCTTTTATGTTTGTACATTTGGCCAGTTTAATGTCTTTTAACTTCTTAGAAAAAAAATAATTTTTATGGGTTTATCTGAATTTTGACTACATATATCTGCAAGCAGATGTTTCATTTGTAGTGAAATAAACACAGTGTTACTAAAAAACCCCAAGTCTCTTGAAATCAAAATTATTTTTCTTATGTTTTCCTACTTCGAATCATCATGGACTAAAATCTCACTTTTCATATTGTTTCTATATTCCTCTCAGCAGTGGTGAGGAGAGGTAGAAGAGAATATGACTGGGGCCCTAAGGATTAGGGTCTGTCATCGAACCACTGAAAATAATGGTTGCTGGCAGTCTCTTGGGTGAGCTGACACTCTCAACCCCATTCCGCAGTTATCAGCCTTTCATCGATGGCGTTCCCAGGGTTTGCTGAGCTTTTAAATTCAGGCTGGTGACTTTTTATAGGTGTCTCAGTAAAAAAACAGGATCTCTCTAACAGCTTTTTGCCATGAACTCACTGACTGTTGCTCTTTGCTTTGCAGTCTCCCACTCTAAAGAGAGAACGTTTTATGCTTGCCTTAGGTTTGTTTTCATATGAAGGTTGGTTAAATTTTTTTCCTGTTAAAAAAAAAACCAAAACAAACAAACAAACAAACAAAACCACACACCAAAAAAAAAACCTCTCCACAAATCTTCACAGGAACTTTGATGCTTCACACTATCTTATTTATTTTATTTGGTTAGATTTAACAAATCATCTGCATTACTTCTCCCTTTTTCCAAGTAAGTGAGCTGCAGAACGTTTGCACGTGCCCCAAGTTCATATTGCTGCTTTGCTGGCTGTTCCACCAGACTTACTGATATTGCCTGAAGTGTCACTGAGAGCTGCAAGGTGGATTTTTCAGACTATGCAATGTGTATGCTGACAACTAAAGCAAATTTTAGTGCAATTGCTGCCTCAAACCACCTCGGCTTCCTTGTACGTACTCCCAAAGACTTGATACATCAAGAACTGATAGAGAGAACTGCCAAAGAATAATAAAAATATATATATATAAAAAATAGAAATAGTCCAACTCAGTGATCAAATTAAAACATCCATAAAGTTAATAAAGTTAAAATAACAAACACATCTCACTGAAGGAAACTGAAGTTAGATTCATGTTTAAATCTGTGCAAAATTGTGTTAGAGTCTGTCTCTTTTTGCTTCCTCAACACTTACAGGGGGATGAAGGTGGGTTTACATGAGTCCAGTGCTGTTTGCTTGGTTTTTTACTATGCAGTTCATTTGTCTGGATGGATGGACTAAAGAAAAAAAATATATCAGTTTTATATATTAGTTTTATATCATGGCCTAGAAATTCATAGCTTTCTTCACAAGATACACGTTTATTTGAAATGTGCACCAATTCCCTGGTGAGGTCGGCTAAGCAAAGCCATCTGTTTTTCTCCTGCATAATGATTTTGCAAACGGTGTCACTGGGTTGGTATTACTGTAAGTCTTTTAACCACTTTAATTTTTATGGTGATTTTTTGCACTTTTCATTTAAGCCTGCCACAAACATGAAATTCATATAAAAACAGTGTTTCTCCAGATCATGATCCCTACTGCTAGACATAACCACATGTCATGTATGCCACTCATCACTCCAACCCATTCAGGAACCAAGAGCAAACAGTTCTCAGCAAGGACAAATCCAAATAAGCTGCACAAATCAAGAATATTTATTTATGCTTCTACCATGCTGTTGGTTACACTGCATGCACCCTTTCACATTTTTACACAAAGTATAGAGAGAAGACATCTCTCTTCAGAAATCTTCTGGCTACTTTTCTATATTTCTCTGTGTAAGTAAAGAATATATATAAAATATATATTTATTACTGTCTCTCTCTATAAATATATATTTCTATAATATTTTTCTTTTTTATGCAGTCTCACTGTACTCTTCAAAAGAACAGAGATAAGCTTACTTTTGTAAGAGAGAATGCAAGGTGGTAAAAAATATATTTCTTTGCTAAGCATATTTTAAACTTCATAATCGGTAAGATCACCAGAGGTTAATTTATCTAGACAACAGCTATGTAAACTGATTTTGTATAGAAGTACTGTGACATTTACTTTAGGTGATCAACACTGGAATTAGATACTATTATATTAAATGAAACTTTCAAAAATGCAATAGAAATTTATATTCCTTTTTATCTTTTCATCTTCTTTCTACTTCCGAAATGCACTAGAACTTCTAAGGACATCAGAGCCTGCTACATTACCATCCTTTCAGATGATGTTTTCTGTAATGGTGACACCACCAGTCTTGGATCACACACACAGTTTTTAATCTCAGCAAAATAGAAACTGAACAAATGTCATTTCCTTCATATGTTCCTTTCCTCTTCCATTCATGCAGCTGAAAAGATTGCCTATTATCTCAAAGGTCAGACATGCTTAGTAGTTCCTGTACTGTTAAAAAAATCTCCCTCTTTTAATCTCACAGTCTCACAGATCCTGTGGATCTCCAGTAACTCCACAGTAGAGACTTTTGTTTTCCTGTAGAAATACTCATATTTAAAAACATTGTGAGGTTTCTCTTTCCTAACATTATGAAAGCACTTCCAAACTCATAATCAAGTGTTCAACTAAACAACTAACATGTGCACAGACATTATGTGACAGGGCTCCTAACCTATTAATTTGTTTTATACACAGTTATTCCAAGTTACGGGTTTTTAGCTGTTATTTACTAAATCAACCAAGTTCTAGCAATATCCAATATTCTTTCACATCACTGAGACATAGTAGCAATGCATGAGTTTGAATTATATATTACAGAAATTTTATTTGCTTAAACTAATACATACTCAGAGGTTTTAAACTCTTTCTCACCAATGAGTTTTACAGGAAAAGCAATACTTACTTTGTACCAATTAATAAATGTAATTTATTACCACAAAAGTGCTGGCATTTCAAAAGCATCACTGCAAATGAAAGACTAATACTGTAACAGACTGAATTTCATTAGCAAGGAAATGTGTCAATCTCTGACTAAATTAATGATCAAAAGAGGTGTTTTAGGAAACACTCAGTAGTGCCGCCAGTAAAGCGCAAGGAAATCCTCCAAGTAAGGATTTGCATTTTAGAAGAGAATGCCTGGAGCTTGGAGCATATTTATGATCCAGGTTCATGTTCCAACAACTGAGAAAATCATTTTGTCACTCAGTCTCATTTTTCAGTTTTGCTATCTGGATGAAGAGCAAAGATTATGAGGTTAAGAGCAAGCACAAAGGAAGCTTGCTTCCAGTTTTCCATCTCTACAAAGTGAGGCTGATCTTTTTCCTTCCCAGTGTCAAAATTTTTCAGCTGTCTGGCAAAATCTGGATGCAACACTTGAATATCGTCAGGATCTGAATCCCACCGTGACAACTAAGAAGTGTTTGTGGTTACATGTGAACCAGAAAACAGAGCATCCAGGAACCACTCCCTGGCCCTATCACTGAACAGGAGGGCATGGGATGGTCTGTGTCCACATGGCTGAATCTCCTGTCTCTAAACAGGATGTCCTCATCCAAACTGACTCCTGGGAATGGTCCTGGGCCTCTGCCAATCCCAGAACCATTCCAGGTTGTTTCTGGGAGTTGCTGGCTCGTTTGGGCTGAAAAGTCACTTAAAGGCAAGTTTAAAAACATTACTAGCCCAGTACTCAAATCTGCACAGTAGCCCCACATAGTTAGAAGTGTGGATGTAATCTGTGTGCTCTTCCTCTACCAATCAAACTTAGTCAAAGGCATCAACTTAAGACTAAGTTTGTGCTAATGGGTCTCCTGAGAGAGTCCTTAACAGAAGTCTCCCTGAGAGTCAATAGGAAAATAGGGATGGGGTCCAAAACTGAATTTATGCTGGAGAAAACTGGCAATTCCTGTTAAATTTCTCATAATGGAATAAGAAAGCATAATTTCACATAAATTTAAGAAAAAAAATGCGGTACCTCATTAACCTGCAGAGCACAAGGGCCCAAGAAAACCAGCAGCATTCGTGTCCAAAGGACAATGAAGATGGTAAAAAAGCTAGAAAAGCTACAAAACAAGCCTGATGAGGAGCAGCTGAGGGAGTTGGGTTTTTCAGTTTGGAGGAGAGGAGGTTCAAGGGGGACCTCACTGCTTTCTACTGCCTTAAAGAAGGCTGGAGTGAGGTGGGGGTTGGTCTCTTCTGCCTTATCTCAAGTAAAAGCATGAGAGGAAATGGCCTGAAGTTGCATCAAGCGAGTTTCAGATTAGATATTAAAAAACCTTTGTCACTGAAATAGTAGTTAAGCATTAGAATTAAGTTGCCCAGGGAGGTGGTGGAGTCATGGTCTCTGGATCTGGATGTAGCACCTGGGAATATGGTTTAGGGGTGTTTATTGTGGTGCTGGGTTGATGACTGGGTTCAATGATCTTGAAAGTCTCTTCCAACCTTGATGATTCTGTGATTTTGTGAAAACCAACAGCTGAACTAAAAGAGGAACTATCTAGTCTGTATTTCCCTAGACTAAGGCAGGGCTTTAAAGTGCGCAACAAAATTTCTTTCTGAATGGGGATCAGGCACTGGAACCGACTGCCCAGGGAACTGGTGGAATCACCAACCCTGGAAGTGATCAAAAAACATGTGGATATGGTATTGTGGGGACAGGGTTTAGTGGTGAACATAGCAGTGCTGGGTCAACAGTTGGACTCAATGACCTCAGAGGTCTTTCCCAAACTTAACGATTCTATGACACTGTGATTCTAAAAATGAAATCTGCTAAACACACATTCCAAATATAAATATTTACTGGATTATTTGAACAATAAATACAACAATATTAACCTCTAGCTCAGAATAATAAACTGTAAGCTATGAAAGACTCTTAAAGCAGTGAATTTAGGACCTAAACGAAAATTCATATAATGAAAGAATATCACACAAGAACTACACAAAAATAAAATCAAATGATCTAGCTACTAAAATACACATATGTGCTCAAAATCTTGTGGGAATCAAATATTCCAGTAAAAATAAAGGAAGAGATGGAAACACAAGTTTCTTATTATCACACTTCATATGTTACAAAACCTAAGAGTTAACTTATTTTTGGCAAAATGACAAAGGTTGCACAATACTCTGGCTTACACAAATATTTTCTATTGTTAAATGCATCTTAAATGTAGCTTGTCATATGTTAACTTTATGCACACAGTGCACCATGCAGCCTAAGAGTGTCACAAAGATCCCTACATTTCAAAACACTGATGAATAGCAAGCTGGCAGCGTCCAACGAACCAGGTGTAAAATAGTTACTCGACAATTTATAGTTTAACTGAAACCAGACAAAATCATTTGAGCAATAAAGACTGTACACATAAAATCATTTCAGCAATAAAGACTGTACACATTTTGACCAAAGTTAGTATTTTTGGACAAATTACTGCACATGGTATTTTCTAGAAGACTCCTTCCTGAAAAGATAAAACAGTAATAAAAGTTCTTTTAAAAAATGCCCTTGTTTATAATCACAAAGTGAATATGCCTATGGAAAAATATCCTCATGTTTCACATTTTTAGTTGCTCTTTCCTTTCAAGGAAAAAAAGAGTTAGATGTGCAGTGGAAACAGTCATGGAGAAGTGGATATGCATATATTAACCACATGCATATATTAACCACAGACTTTATGCTAACATGGCACTTCCTTCCACTGAGGGTTTTATAATGTAAAGGAAGAGGCAATGATTTAGTAAGAGTGAATGTTTAAGAATAAAATTTCTGTATTCTTCATTCATCATCCACTGATGAGTTATTACTGAGGGAGTTATTACGGAGCACTAACAGTTTGCCATTTCCAGAGGGGCAAGGACATGGTCCTGCCTCAGCCTTCTCATCGCTTCACAGTGATAATGGGGAAACGTTCAGATACACAGAACATGCAGTAACAGCTCTCATTGAGTTACACAAAACAAGACTGAGTTGAAGAAACAATGATACTTGCATATGTATTAAATTTTAAAAACATCTTTCATAGTATTCATCACAATTTATATTAATAGTCATTTCCATACATTTCCCCATGTCCATTCAGCAATCTGCTTGCCTCAAAATAAGAAACCACTATTAAAACCATAACCAGTCTTAATTCTTGGTGTAATATGTAATATAATTGCCAAATATCTGGTAATCTACTTAAAAATTACTTAAAGATGAGAGCAAGAAAGCCCTAAACATATTTATCAGTTATTAATTATTTATATTACAAGAGCATTAAAGGCCAAAATTCAGACTTAGAACTTATGTTTACATCAAACTACTATATTAGTAGGATTAGCCATTAATTTTTTGCTTAATTTTAATTGAAAGTTTGTGTATAGCAGAACAGGAAACCCTTGGCATTACCCACAGGCTGAGCACATGCCCTGCTTTGCTAATAATGTAACTCCCCTTTGAGAAGGTTGAGGTACCTGAAGTTCTGATGCTCGCTTCATCATCTCCAGGGTGATGTAGCAACCAATAGAATGAGCAATCAGTACCAGCTTTATATCTTTTGATACATTCTTTTTGAGGAAGTTCAGCTTATGCTCTACTTGTCCGTTAAGTCCAAAAACATCCTCTAGCTCCTTAATATCTGTGTCTGAAACATAAAAGAAAAGAAGTCCTTTGGTTCAACAATAGAAGTCTCAAATATCTCTCCCCCTCCACCCCCGCATCATTTCATTGTAAAACACTGAAATAAATACACATATTAATTAAAAAAACCCAAACAACTCAAACCACCAGACTTAATAATTTAAAGTTACCACCACTGGCTAATATAGACTGATGAATCACATGCACAGCATGTGAAGCCTTATGTGTATCTTGCAAACCAGGGAAAGGTAAGGAAACACATGGAGCTTCATGGCACATCATCCAGTACTGTGATCTCCCTCATTCAGAACAAGATCAACTCAGGGCATTGGATCAGCTTAAAGCAATCCAACTTCACACTGAGCAATCAAGACCTACAACAGCAATGCTGCCCAGGAATAAGAGTCCCTCCTCACAGAAGACAAACTGTCATGTATGTCATCATGCACTAAAACTTTCAGATATTCAAAATCTCCTGTCTTAAAATAAAGATGCACAAAAATGTCCCATGGAATGAGGAAAAACAGGAAATGCCTATGTGTCAACACGCAGCATTACCACCTACACAAACTACCCCTAATTATGCAGGTTCTTATCGCTGTCAATTCAGCCACAAAGAAGATCAAGTTAAAGCTCAGTGGTTCTAGGTTATTGTGCAATTTGATCACTGTTTTGCCAGAGACCTTGGGCAATCGCTTGTGATGAGAACTCGGATCACTGCTTCCTGGCCAATCAACAAGACAAAGTTGAACCGGTGTCTGTAAGAACATACAGCAATTCAGGCATCTTTAACTCTTGCTCTTGAGGTGGGTGACATGGATCTCAAGTTCCACAATCAGAGGGGGTTCACAACTTCTTTATCTGCTAGAAAAGTGCTCTACCCACTAAATGCTACGCTGAGGATATACCACTCCAGTTTAAGCTGGGCTACTCCCCTGAAAGGATTGTAAGAAATACTAAAATTAAAAATGAAAGAAAAGAGGCAGAAAGCATGAAGGAATGTCTGCCTCTGGCTTACCAAAAGGAGATGTAGTGGCACTAACATCACTTAATCTCTTAAATCCATACTATTATCTCGGGATTCAATTTCATACCCCAATTTAAAACTCTGATTTTTATACTCCTTGCAGGCTGACTTGCTTTGTGGCTTTAGTCTGAAACAAGCTAAATCTCCTGGCAGACTTGTTCAGCCACACGATGAGGACTGGTTCATTACTGATCCATGGTCCTAGAGATGGCATCTAAGTTCCTGACAAATGCCACACACCTTTTCAGGAGCAGCTGACAGAGATGGTGCACCCACAGCCCTAACCAAGTATTAGGTGTGACTTCCCACTTGGTTTCTTTTGATGTGCCCTGAAACAGTTCCCTGTGTGAAAAATAGATATGGAAGAAAGCATCCATCGATACTACAAATACATTAAAAAGACTGAAATGCACTGAAAAACTACTGCAAGAGAAAGTCAGAAAGTAGCACAGATCCATTTCAGATGGGAGTTGGTTTTGCACCTGCTTGGAGAAAACGACAGCTGTGAGTGAACTGCCTAGGACTGCGAACAGAGTTTACCAAATCACAAAGGCTGATGGGACTTCAATCCATATGCAGAAAGTTTGATGGCAATTGGACAGTAACCTCAGATACTAAAAATTACTAATGCTACTGTAGTGAAGCTATGGGAAGGCTGACCGTGACAGTACTAATTAGTAGCCCAAGTGGGCTGGCACTATATCACCTTTTCGATTATCTGCATGAAACTTAACCTTTAGAAGCAAAATAATTGCTCAAGAACATGTTCTGATGGCTCTTTTCTGAGTTTAAATTATTAGAACAAAGGTGACAACAAAGAAATTCTTCAGTTAAACTAATATTTCTACTAAAACTACTGATGGTCATATCCCAGCATAAATAACAGTAATTTACTCAAAATGAAAAAAAGGTTTACTAAAACACACTCAAGGAATGCAAAATTAGATGAGAAGTAATATTTTGTTTATTAGGGCTACATTTTAAATTTTTAAATGTACTTTAATTTAATTACACAGCAGCTCAGCCACATGAAGGAACAGGTTGTCTGAATCACAAGACTAATTACAGGTATATATAACACAAAACTCCCCAGAATACTTGAAATACAAGAGGCCAATGGATACAGAAACAAGTGATAGAATAAGTTATATTGAGTATATGCATATCTCCATGTGTTGGGTTGTTTCCTCCTGCAAACATTTGCTATCATGTCCATACTGTTTTAGTCAGGCACTGTCATCTCAGTAACTTATCAGTATGTTTCAAAATGTTTGACATTTCATTTTAATTCTTGAAAATAAGATTTTTCACAAGAATATCAGCTTATTTGCCAGTTAGAACAAGGGAAAAGGAGGTAAAGTAGATATATAAATCTTCCAGAGAATCTCTCACGGTTCACAAGACCCCAGAAACCAAGCAGGAAACAAAACAAATTTTTATTTGCATTATTCAGTCTCTTGAGGTTAATGGCTGCTTTTCACTATATGAATTCTGTATCTGCTAAAATAGTTGCTGAACATTGCTCCCATGAAACTAAAAAACAATACAGCAGAGACAGTCTAGCCCCATCTCAACATTTTCCAAGTTTAGATATTTATGTCAGATAAATAAATTATTTTATTTATTTATTTTTATTTATATAAATAAATTATATACATATATTTATATTATTTATTATATTATTATTTATGAAGACATTAGATATCCAATTTATTATTTAGTTACCTAATAAATAGCACTGTAGAGATTCTGGCCAACATATTCATAGCTATTATTGACTTCAGCAGAGATGTGCCTGTTCAGAACCAGCTGTGTTGCCAATAAGGAAGGATATGGCTGGGGACTAAGAGGAGAGTGAAAACAAGGGCTTTTTCCTCCTTGCATTTGCCCAGATTTGAGTTTAGAACTTGAGCATACTCAGCTCAGGCCTGTGCACTACTGTTTCTTTGTGGGAGCTGGGGAGACCAGAGATTGCAGAAGCAATTTTCAACTGGATGGGTTAGTTGTGATCGGTGATGACCATGGACACCCGTTCCACTGTGCTGGGCCGAATCATCCTCAGCACAGCACATTTCACACCACTCAGAGCAAGGATGCTCCAATTCCCATGGCTACTGGGCTGTGTTACATACACATACAATCCCTCCGAGGCTGCAAGTCCTGACAGCGAAGGCTGACCCCAGAGAATTGTTTCTGCTGTTTAATACAAACTTTCCTTTCCTTCTGAAATCCTGGTTTGTTGCCAAACCCAATCACCTTGGCGCTAGTCCTGGAGAGCCACACTGGAGGATGAGTTGCAGTGTGGGGTTTGGTGATCCATATGCAAAGCTCTCATCAAGGACTGACCCTGCACTTGTAAGGTGAAACTCCAATAACCCTGTATTGAAATACATATCCTATTTTGCATCTGGACAAATAGAAAGTTGTCCACACCTCATGTCACTACATGTTTCCCCAGTATAAACGCTACACTTCTCATAGTCCAAAATATGTGAGAGCTGGGCTGCGTCACAAGTTTGGAAGATTTATTTCTTTATTTTACAGAATAAAATCGCCCAGGGATTATCCAAAATCAACATGAATTTCTTGGGTGGAGAAGCTTAAATGGGTTCTTTGTATAAGCAAACAGACTTGCACAAACACACTGGCAGTCAGCTCTCCAATGGCTCTACATCAGAGAAGGGACCAGAGTGACTTCACCTCAGGTGTGGAATACATGCCATGGCTGAAGGACAGCTCATTTAAGCAGTTTTCAGATAGTAGAAATTATATGACTCGTACCTTACGCTGCAAACACCCCATCTGGGCCAAGACGTGATTTTAAGACTTTATTTAGCTGAAGTGTATTAAAAGAAATACTGTATTTCTTTATTTTCTTTGGCAAAGCATTAATCTTCTGGTGTGCTTTCGGAAAAACAAATGCACCATCACTTTAATGAATCTCTTTTTCTGACCTCTGCTAAAACCATAGGCAGAAAACAATGATAGATTAAAATATAGTGTTTGCTCTAAGAATAGTCGACCAGTTAATCTTACTAGGAAAGAGGACTTTGGTTTTCAGTGAAATAACAGAGAATTGTGTTTGTTTGTTTTTTCTGCAGTGTATGCAAGGGAAATTCTTAAGCAGAAAAAAAAGTATAGCAGTTATAAAAGCAGACTTTAGGCTGGCAATTCACAAAATTTAGCCCATCATTAAAGAGTCTCCGAAAATCATAGACTTCTTTTTACTGGATGATTAAAAAAGATACTAGAGGCCAGATTTTCCAACAGTACCCTCAAACATCTGCGTGCTTTTGTACTTTCTGAATTTCAAAAGGAAAGGCTTACATGTCCAAACTCCAAACTGCTCTGGTCACAACAGGTGGCTGAGTATTTGAGCTCAGTACATACAGACACCTGCTCACTTGTCAGGGAGTGACTTTGAAGTCTGTCCCAAGATCTGCTCATACACAAGGCCTCCAAACTACTCATGAGCAAGTAAGGAATTATGTGAAAAGGTAACCTGTGATTGCATGTCATGAAGGAACGGGAGGTAAAAACCTCTGGTCTACCTGCACTTTGTCTTCTTCCCTGAACCATTTACTATAGGAGGTGGTAGCAGGATATCTAAGGACAATCTCTAATGAACCCCTAGTATAAACTCTTGTGGTCAAGAATTTTTGGAACTGGACCTTTTGCAGGTTAAAGACAAGTAAGTATCTGCAGACTGAACCAGAGGCTAGAAAAGATTCACCTCTTCCTCTGAAGATGCTGCTCATTTCAGCTGTGTGACACATCACCATGCAGCATAATGTCTGCAGTAAGGGGAAACAAGTTTTTAAACAGACAAAAAAGCAGTAACATCACAAGAACGTATCAAGAGGAAGGAAAGCAAAGCGGGAGAAAATACTGGCAGGTCAGTGACGATACCACAGCTTTCGAAAAGGCACAAAGCAGCCAGTACAACCAATCACATGGTTCAGGAGAGTTAGCTCAGG